TTTGGGAAACCCCCATATGATCCCTGCATATTCTCCATCACTCTAGCTCTTTAATCAACAGTTGCAGGATGCATTGGTTGTAGCTCTCGGTTAGGATATGGCCTCCGGACGAACCAACACCCAAAAAGTCGACTGTTCGTTGACAGGGTTACGCCACGCATTTACGAAACACAAGACCGATCTGACTGAACCCTGCCTTTGCGTGCGGGCGATAGGAGATTCGGGTCTCCGCAGTCCAACGGGTGACAAGCTCGAAGCTCTGCCACCGGTATGGGCCCTCGCCACCGTCACGTACCTCAGGCCACCAAGCCTACTTCTAGGCCCTGAGGTCTGGGGCTTTAACTTGGACTTGAGAGTTCAGTTTTTAGTTCACTGCCGAGGAGCAAGGCCCTCCTTGCGTGGCTCGAACATATACTCAGGCTTCGGCCAAGCTTCCTTGTACTTTGGTGTCTGGTAGCGAAGCCACTCTGCTTTGGTCATCTTCGAGGCCTTGATCGCAGCCAGACCTCAAGAAGACCAGTTGCGAAGCAACGATGTCAAACAAAGAGCTCTTTCAATAGCAACTTGCCTTAGTCTGGAATCCAACTCACGCCAAGATGCGACCTCGGTCTTGTCGAATGATCTTCGGCTTTCCAGTACGTTCACTAATGGCTTGAACCTTCTTCAGTTTCTTCACGACTTTCATCTTCAGGCCCTTCTGCATGGCACTGTTGAAGCTCGGGCAATGATATAGGAGCCAGTTAAGCATGAACCTCTTGCTTCATGATCCCTGGATAAGAACAATATCAACGTCATAAAGGAGGCTCGAATACAGTCATTCAGCGAAGAGAATATGGACAAGAAATGCAGTGTTGAAACTGTTCAATCATGGGCCGATCACGAACTTTGTTGAATTGCCAAAATGGCTACAGAGTAGGCGTGCCTGCGCAGAGGCGCCCGCAACTGCAACTGTCCAATCGGATCCCCCTAAACCAGACGGGATTTTGCCTTAAGGGTTGTAAGAGATTCGGAGTGCCCCTCCGAGGTATTGTACAAGGACGATTTAGACAAACTCTCTTGCATTTAGAGAAGAGTCCCCGTGCTGCTGCCGCATTACCAATTACCTGTACTGTCAGTAGCAGACGCCTGGCCACTGCCCCAGCTGCTGAGCTCCGCATGCCACAAAGAAAGTCTACACTTTGAAAATGAAGAGGATTATGGAAGCCCAAAACGAGTAGAGTGTACCCGGTTCGCACCTGAATGCGCAGCGTCAGCTGGCTTCGGCTATTCGAGGATCTGGCAGCTTCCCACCTCTGCAATTTGGGGGGATTTCTGGAAGCACTCCCTATATGACCCTGTCCTTTTTAAGTGTTGCCAAAGGACTCTCGTCTTTTTCGTTCTACTTTTACATTCAAGTTGGTGGTTAGACTTACCAAATCCCCTGATCGACCGTCCCCATATCGTGATTTTTTGGACAACAAACCCAGGACTCAAAAACCGTAAGCTCTGAACCCTACACCCCTATCTGAACCCTACACCCCTAAAGCCTAGATTCTATCTAAGCCCTCAACCTTAAAAGCCGACCACACACGACAATTCAGTGATCCACACATCTTCTTGAAAACTCAAAGATGGGCTGGGCGCCGGGCACCAAAGGCCACAGGGATGCCCTCGTTTTGAAGCTCCACCTGAATGCGCTGCTACACCTGTGAAGTCAGGTATTGCTACTTTCCTAAATTCCTTTGCTCATGCTACCTTTGCTTGATCCCCAAGCCCTGGCCTCGAAACGTGGCTACGAAGCGAGCAGTACACCGTTGAGGCCGGAAAGCTGCGAAAACTCACAGGTTTCAACCCTGCCAATTCCGCTTGAAAGAGGATTCGTACGCACTTGACTCTGCAGCATGCTTTCGCAGTTGACGAATTTCACCAGCAGGCGAAGAGGAAGTGATTCGGGGGGGACACGTCAGCGAGTGGGTACATGACTGGGCAAGAGACGGACACACTAAGCCAGCACAGGATGGAGAGCAAACCCCTGTCATTGATAACAATGGTACTGGTAGTAAAAAACAAGAATAAGGATGTCAACAATAGTAAACGAGCGCGTGATAAAAAAAAAATACGAATACGAACAGTAATAATCAACACATGGACCAGGGCCTTTTGCAACAGCTTTCCCATGAGCCCCCCAAAAATGTTCTCCTTGTGAGGATGGAAAATTCGGGGCGCGCCAATTCCCAAGAAAACGGCCTCGACACAAGCTGGAGGGCTTCCAAGGAGGCGGTGGCAGGTCACGGCCTCATGGTGAGGTGGATAGGAACTTCCAAAAATGAGGGGGTTCTCTGGCGGGGGGCTGATGTCTAAACAGGGAAAAAGGAGTGATTGTGCACATGCTGGTAAGACGTTTTGTGGACATATCGTCTTTGCAGGCTATCAACAGAGCTACAGCAGATTTACCTGCCTTCTCTTGTGGACCCCTCCTCCTTTGGCCCATCTGACCTGGTTCCACACAATCCTCTAAGTGCTAGGCAGATCTGCAAGTCCGCTGAGCCAGTTTAGGTCAAACAGCGCAGCGGTCAACATGCAAGGGCATGAAAACAACAGAGGCTGAGCTCCCAGCAAGGGGCGGGTCTGCAGTCTGGGATACAAGGGTACCTGAGCTTTGTTGGATTGAGGCATGGGGCCAGTTGTTCGGCTTACTGGAAGAAACCCTACTGGTGCTACAGCTACTGCTGCCGCTGCCGCCACTGCTACTCACGGAGAACCCACATAGACATACCCCTTGCGTCAAGGACCCCAATAGGGCTCAGTGGTTGTAGCATCGCAAAGATCTGTCTGAAGGCGACGACTGGTCCATCGCTCCACATCCCAGGATGCAAGAACCTGCTTGAGACCGTGCTTAGGTTCAGGGGTCAGGGGCCCTACTTACTTTCGACAAGGAGAATGCGCGAAAGACAGCACAAGTGCAATGATTGGCTCTAGCGCTGCTAGCACTGACGAAGTACTGCCACCGCTCACAGCTACGATCACGATGAGTGTCACTCTTACCGGTTTTGATATCAGTCTTGTTGCCGATTGACCTCATCGCTGGAACTCTTCGCAGTCACTCGTGTAGAGCGCCATGCCTCGAGAAGTCACTACTTCGAATCCCGAAGAACCGAATATGATCATTACGCTTCCCTGACTGGCATGAATGCCACTGTTTGTTGCCCCCGCTGCAGAGTCCTCGGTTGCGGCTAACACGTGCTCAAAATCACTACTACAACGACTCTTCCTGATGCCTGCTCTGCGCTGAGAAAGATATCTACACTGATGCTCCCAGTTGCCTGCATTCTGGCTATGACTTCATCACACATACTACTAGTACTAGTACTAGCACTACTACTCATACTTCTACTACCACTACTGCTGCTACTACTACTCGTCCTCCTCCTCGTACTACTAATCCAACTAGTACTCCTCCTCCTACTGCTGCTGCGGCATGCTACTGCTACTTCTTTTCCACCACCACCGCCGCCGTCGCCGCCAACGCCACTGCCACCGCCACCGCCACCGCCGCCACCGCCGCCACCGCCGCCGCCACCGCCGCCACCGCCACCGCCGCCACAAAACCACCACCACCGCCACCAAACCACCACCACCGCCGCCATCACCAGCACCACCACATTGATTTCAAAATCGTTGTCGTACCATTGCGACCTCTACTGCAGCTATCCTCCAGGTGGCGCACAGGAAACACTGGAAAGCCCTGCGGTTTCTTAGCCCCTGTGTGCCGCCACGATACAATACCTTCACCCCAGATAATAAGTCAAGCACAAAACTAGTGCTTCTGAGGTCAGCTAAGGTTCTAGGATCATCATGCAAGGCTCGTGAGCACGTGGCTGTAGCTTCGCGTTAGAGGTAGTTGATCTTCATTTCGGGCACTCATGCTGAGTCAGCCACATCTTGCGGCATGATGAGAGAGGTATGCTTGGCTTTGCTGTGGCCAAGCAGGTATTTCACGAAATGTAACCTGCCTGGGCAGAAATACTTGGTTGGTGGCATCGCCTGATTTCAGATTTCTCCATTTTGTATGCATTGCTTATGGCTCTTGCTGCGGCAGGCAATCCCTCACCACATCAGCCCGAACCCTAAACTTATAAGCCCTAAACCATTATTAATCCTAAACCCTGAATCCTTGACCCTGGATCCTCCACCAAAGATCCTAAAGTTTGAAATTTGAGTTTAAGCCCTAAACCCTGAACACAAAATCGTAAACCCCCAAGACCCTCCGGGCTGCCGCCTCGTGGAGGGCCTCCAGATGCTGGGAGGGGCTCGGGCCATTATGAGGAATAGTAATTACCAATAATCGAGATTCAAATGGAAGAGAAATTGTAGTTTCTCAAAATAAGGGGACCCCAATATAGACCCCAATATACAATGATCCTTATTATTGGGACCCCCAAAATGGTACCCCTAATTTTGGGAAACCCCCAAATAGGGTACACCAAGATTTCTGAAAAGGACTCAAGATGAGTCCAGTGCCGGACGGATGACAGTAACTTTCTTACATACTCAACAGAAACTTCCTGGAAACCCTAAACCTTATGACAACCCCTATATAACCTCTATGGTATCCCGTTTAAGGGTACCCCTAATGTTGCCAAGGTTGGGGGCCCTTTGCTAAACCTGAAAATCACCGGATCCTGCCTGCCACGAGTCTGTGAAAAAACTCACATCTGCGTATGTGACAGAGGCAGGGTCACTTGACACCAACACTCAAAAGCCTGGTTATAAAGGGTCTTTATGGAGGTTATATAGGGGTTACTCAACTTTACTTAATGACATAGTGTACACAACCCTGACATGAAACGAAAACGATCTGGTAGGCCGAACCCTCCAAAGCTGTCCTGATTGGGGTTGGGAGTACAGATTACAAGACGAATTCACAGTTTCTCAAACTACAGGCAACCCTAAATCCCCTCAAAACCCCTTCAAGTCCTTACATGTTTCTGGTGGTTTTGAAGGCCTCCATTTGGGGATTCTAAACCCTAAGCCTCAAAGAATCCTGGGCTATCAGGCAAGTGCGGCCTCTGCATGGTGCCGACAGCAGCTGAAACCCAGAGCCGGCTCCTGGGGATGCCATAAGGGGAAGAGAGATATAGGAATTGTGTTGTTACGTAGGATGATAGGGAATATGAAAAGTTATGAAGAAGTTGTAGGGATACGATAGTGCAGAATCAAATGGACAGCAAAATGAAAAGCAAAATGGAAAATGAGATGGGAACCGTGATTATATGGCCCTTTATTGGGATTAGAGCTTCCAAAAAACAGGGGTTCCGTTTTAAGATTAAGGATTACAATTTTCGGTGTCTATATCGTGGACCCCCTATTGCCAGGGAAAGGGTTTGGTTGAGGGACTGCAGTTTAGGCGGTTTATGGGCTTCCCAACATGGGAACTCTCTGAGGGACCCCAGTGGACACATGGAATCATGATTTGGGTGGGCCTGAAGAATCATGCGCGAAAAATGTTATGTACTACTTGGAAAGCCAGGCTGCCCAAAAAACATGCGACTGCAACCTGAAATGGTAATGAGATGTGTAGCAGGCACCGTGACATCAAGGGAATGGTTTGCGTATACCCAACTAAAACACTACATCGTCATGAAAGGAACTCCCAAAAGGATCTTAAGAGATCCAAGTTGCTTATAAAAACCTCAGATCGACCCTTATCATGTATCTGCATAC